GAGGATAATTTATTTCAAGCAATTTCTTGAAAATGAAAGATTAAGGATCCGGTCTTTATCCTATATTATATGAGAGTATTTTTCAAAAATTGATTTACAAATATTTAAGAACAAAATATCAACAAATTTTATAAAAAGAATTTTAGTTTATTAGTACATTAGTAGATTCAGCAGAGTTTTTGGAATATTTATTTCTCTCCATAAGTCATAAGGGAATTTATTAAATGCTATCAATATTAGATCTTGATAGCATTTGATAAATTTCCTTACAATTTATTTTTCTTAAAAAAATAAATAAATAAAACATACAGTTAAAGAATAAGAAAAAGGGTACTTTTAAAAGTAGCATAAAGACATAACATTTAAGTCCAGAACTATTACCAAAGAACAGGGTGATTTCAGATACTATTAATTGGGTACTAAATTTTAAACTATTGGGCCATTTTCAAAATCTTTTTGATTTCTGTTTTCAGTGGGAGCGGTGCTTTGATTTTAATAGCATCGCAATCATCCCTATATAAGTCAGATACTTCAGAAACAATGAAATCTATAGTAAAACGTTTTTTTGTTTGGTTACTTTCTGCAATTATGCAGCTCTTTTTATATCCAATTAGAACACTTCACCCCTTTGCTTCTTGGAACAAAAAGATCCTATATTTTTCTTCATAGTAACCTTGTAATCTAATATTTTCGAATTCTTTTCAAATTAGTTTTGTTTCCTTTTATAACTAAACGATCTTATCTTATTGACTTATGGAATATTTAAGAACCTTATAGCCGTCAGACTGAGCATAGGCGGTATTTGTGATTTTTACTTTTTTTAAATATGGATGTGGGTTCAGCCAACACCTCCTAGAAAAGAGTAGGCCTCTGCACGGGTTACCATAAATATCCTTTTGTAGTCCAAACGTAATGACATATTTCGTATTTTCAACCACTGCGCAGCTAATTACCCCGAATGTAATGACATCTTTCTTATTTTTCATCTACTGCGCAGTTAACTTCGTCACATCGGACTACTAGATTGATCCGTGCTGAGGCCTTCCTTATTCTAGGAGGTGTTGGTTCAGCACAATCAAATAGATAGGTAGATAGAGATATGGAGATATATAGAGAGATAGAGAGATAGAGATAGAGAGAGAGAGAGAGAGAGAGAGAGAGAGAGAGAGAGAGAGAGAGAGAGAGAGAGAGAGAGAGAGAGAGAGAGAGAGAGNTGCATTGCCATCTTCCTCAAGTCGAGTAGAGAAACATTGGAAAACCCGTGACAAGTACCCTGCATTGCCATCTTTCTCAAGTCGAGTAGAGAAACATTAGAAAACCCGTGACTAGTGTCATGCATTGCCATCTTTCTCAAGTCGAGTAGAGAAACATTGGAAAACCCGCAATCTGTGAAAACACCTAGTGGTCAAGAGACTGACATTTGTTAAATGAAATAAGCATTTAATTCTTAACTGTTTCATAACAAATTTAATGCTTAAGTGAATTTTAAGTGTGATTTAAGTACTTTTATATTCTCCCTAATTTATCTCACAGTTTCTGCTTCAGTCTTAAACATCTTATATATATGTGTGTAAAATATATTATACCGCAGGCAAATATAATAAGAATGGATGACCGTAAGACAGTTTTAAATCTCGTAAAGTTTCCTCAATTTCGAAAAGTTTGGAAACTCCACCTTTTGAAGTTATATCTTATTGCATGTTTGATGTTAAAAAAGCCGCCTTTTTTGTCATCCGGAACCTAAGCGATCAGTGAATAATCAAAGACCAATGAAGTAAACCCGGTTCGAAACCCAGCAATGGCTGGTCGATACGAATTGCGCTTCCGGCTTGCACCGACTACTGTGCTGACGTAAAATATCCTCAGTGGTAGACGGATCGTGGATTAGAGTCGCCTTGTCGTCAGGTTATCCGTAGAAGGTTTTCGTGGTTTTTCCTTTCCACGGAGCGGGAATGCAAGTTAGTTCCATCAAAAAGTCCTCACATTTCTCCCAATACTTGGTCTAGGAGTTCCCCGGTCTTCTGACTTGGGTTCAAAATTACAAGGCTACGGAGTTGAACATTTGTAGCCGAAAACAGATGGCGAAGACGATGACTGTTCAATGACGATGGTTATAATGTAAAATAAAAATGCATAATTAATTAATTATGCATAGGAAAAAAGTATGATCAAAACTAGCAGAATATAGTAAAATTTATCCTGTTTCTGTCTTTATGGGAACACAAAATTCTCGGTTATTTATACTGGAGCGTTTTGGTAATGAAAATTAACAATCAAATGTGTTTTTTTACCGTAGAAATGGTTTTTTAACCATATGTTTGAATAAAGTAAGTGATGTAAAGTTTAGTAACATTTGGTAATTTCATCATGAGGCCTCAGAGAATGGCATAAAAGCCATTTATTCGGTTAAATGTTTTTTCAATTTGCGTATTTATTAGTAAATGTGTGGTAATGTGTCATGGTGATGGCATCTGTTAGAAGAGTAAAAAATAGAGCCACTGAATTCGAATATAAATTGAATGTTGCTGATTTTTTCTCTCCTCTTTCAAGAAATTAAGAGAAAACACAGGATTGAAGATAAATAAATTTAAGTATGAGACTATATCTTTCCCGTTTTAACGGACTTTCTCCGTGGCAAATTGTTGCCCTTAGAAAGATTCAGAACCATAATTTTGAAAACCAGAATGCTGCCATGCGAACGAGAAATATTCACCAATGTATAGTTTAAATACCATACATTTCCATTCGATTAACCATAATTACGTTGTTTATTTAATTATTTTTATTTTTTTACAAGAAATGGCATTACTAAACAGTGTGGTAATTTTACTAGAATGCTTTTCGCCGTGTGTATAGTAAGTCTTTTGAGTTAGTTCTAAATTAAAAGAATTTGATGGAGTACATTTTTTTAACTGTTATTTTAGAATTTTTTCTCCGATGAAAAAGATTGAAAATAAATTTTACAGACAAGATATAAAAAAAGGAAAGGGATATTTTATTATTAATCATCTCATAATCAATAAATCAAACACTTATACCCCCGGAATGTTTGTGTTGACGAACTAATTCCTGTACTGCTCTGGGCCAAAAAGCCGACCAGCTTTAAAAACAGAACATGTTCCAAAGATGTGAATTAGGAGTTATGATTATACAGTGCTAAATATAATTTTTTTCAATTTCTTTTTGTGGAAGCGTCTTTCAAATACAATCAGGTGTTTCAAATTTTGAAGTTGCTCTGTTCTTAACTAATATGATATAAAGTTGAACAATATTACCTGAAATCGACTCGCATAGAAATATGTAGCCCAAATTGCGGTTTTAAAACTTTCATTGCCTCTTGATTTCAATCTTAATTGTGATCATAGAGAGTAAAATGTTTCTGCTGAAAATCTACTTGCTTGCTTGGGTAATCCAAAAACTAGAAGAAACAAGAATTAATCAGTAGTTGCTTTTCCTACTCATTTGGATTTCGACACACTACGACAGAAATTTATGTATTATTGTTTAATACTTATTTTTGTGGCTATCTCATCCAACGATGGTGAGTAGCCCTTAACTCTTTGATGCAGATAAGAAACCGGTGTCCCTTAAAAAAAAAATACTTTTCTTACCATTCTAATTACGAGCAAAAATATATATTGTTATTTTTTAATTATTAAAAAAACAGTGTAATCAACAGGGTAAAAACAGTGTATCAGTATTGTATCTGCACGATAATTCGGAATTATATCAGAATTAGTATTTGTATTATATTATTCCAAAAAGTAGTTTATTTTTTTTGCGGAAATGTTACCGAAGTTATGAGATCCATATTCAGAAATATAAGTTGTTGCCACTCACATTAAGTTTGTCAATTCTGTCAGGTTTTCTTTGTTTTATTTTGTATTAACATTATCTTTTGCGTTTGTGAAACTGACAATTATTTTTTATGTTCTATTTATGTTTATAATATTAAGTTAAAGAACTTACGATACGTTGTGCTTAAGAGAACTCTATACGATTTTCATCTTTATGATGTAAGTTTATGCATCCAACAAACAATGTAAATAATATATTGTAAATAGTCCTATTATTCTTAGTGTTGTATTGTGAAATAAAGTAATTAGAAGCAAAAGAATCTCGAGTCATAACACAAGTTGCCCTGAGGAAATTCTCTTGTTTCTGCTTTGTTTTATGCTTATGCCAGCCGTGAATAGAAATTTCATCGATTTTATTTGTTTCATACTAGATTTTATTACCACGAGCGTATAAACGTTTTATATAATTCGCGATCGCAACGCTCGAGTACGCCGTCTAGCGGGAGCCTGTAAATATCGGACATTAATTTATCACGTNATTTTGGCTGCTTCTGTTATTTCTTTTTTACGAAGTCTTTTTTTATGTACAGTTTATATGTTTGATTTGAATTAAGTTTAAGAACGAAAAATAATTCGAGATTAAGAATAAGTAGAAACTGAGGGCTTATTAAGTGAATTTAGTTAATAAACTGACTAAATATTATTTACATTAAGAATATGGATGCTCTTAAAGTGAAAAGAAAGTCATTAAGAACAACTTTTAGGACTGCGTCGAATAAGTTGGAGCAATATTTGGCGTCACCGGAAACTGTTGCCAAGGATATTAATCAGTTGCACGCACTAAGGTCACAATTGCAAGATAAATTTTCTCGTTTGAATGAAATTCAAAATGAAATATCCCCAGTACTTTTAGAAAAACCTGAGACCGTTTCTGAATACGAAACTGATTTTGAAGCAGCGGAAAATTACAGAGATTATTATCTTGAACTAGACGCAAAAGTCGCAACTTTTTTAAATAAGGACCCCGGTTCCATCGCCAAAAGTTCTTTAGAGGATAATGCCGTGAAACTAAAACTACCGAAATTTGAATTGAAGACATTCTCAGGTGACCCTAAAGAATATCTCACATTCTGGAGTATATTTTCAAAAATTCATGAATCTGAAGATTTATCTGCGATCGACAAGTTCCAATATTTATAATCTATGGTACCCGAATCCAGGGCCGCAAGATTAGTTTCCAGTTTCCCAATAACAGCAGATAATTATCCGAGAGCCATTAAACAATTAAAATTACGGTTTGGCAGAGAAGATCTTTTAGTACAAATATACGTTCGAGATCTCCTTTCTCTTGTTATGAAAAATGCTACTACCGGAAAGAATTCTCCTGATTTAGCAACCCTCTACGATATGCTGGAAACAAAATTAAGAACTTTGGAAAGTTTGGGACGTACGAAAGAGAAATTTGCTGACTTTCTAGAGCCTCTTGTAGAGTCATGCTTACCTGAAAATGTTATGCAAGCCTGGGAACGGAGTAGAATTTCTGGAAATACTGATGACGTTACCAGTCAGAGATCCCTCGAAAAACTAATGTGTTTTTTGAGACATGAGGTCGAATCTGAAGAAATGATCAGTTTAGCTCGTGAAGGGTTTGGTAGAGATAAGGGAAGTGGCGAGAAACGAAACGATTACCACAAATCGATCCAAAGAGATGAACCTACTGCTACTACACTGATCGCCAACACCTCAGTAGGAAAAAAGAATTGTATTTTCTTTGACCGATCACATCCAAGTCAAGACTGTCAGAAAATAGCAGAAATGAGTTATGAGGACAGAAAATCACGAGTTATACAAAAGAGATGCTGTCTTGTTTGCCTCAAATCTGGTCACATGGCAAAAAGATGTCACAGTATTGTAAGATGCTTAGTTTTTAAACGGAGGCATTACACAATACTTTGCCCCGATCTACGTAAAGGAATTAATTCTTCATCAAAGGACAAAATAGCAGGTGATGAACAGAAATCAACAGAAATATTGTTTACGAATCGTTCTTCTGAACGTGAAATATATCTCAAAACAATTACGATCAGACTACGAAACAGAGACAAGGAAGTCTGTGTTCGTGCACTAATGGATAATGGATTCCAGCGTCCCTATATTGAAAAGAGTTTGGCTGAAGAATTGAAACTTTCTCCCTCTGGAAGCGAAGTGTTTTCTCAAGGACTGTTTGGTGGAGGAACTTCTCCTGCTTCAGAGCATAAGAGATACGTATATGGTAACTGTTGAAAGCTTAAATCGCAAATATACGAGTTCAATATCTCTTCTTGACCAAGCAAAAATTTGCTCAGAGCTACCAAGGATACAGTATAGAAGTTTACTTGCTGATCTAGCTTCTCGAGGAATAGAAATAACAGATGTTGGAAAAGATACGCCCCCTATAAGAGTTCTTCTAGGAGCTGATGTACTTGGAAGAATTCTGACTGGAAAAATAGAAGTGTTAAGATCGGGAGTTTCAGCCATAGAAACCTTACTAGGTTGGACAATTTTAGGTCTAGGAAGAAAAAAGAAAATGGTTAACTTAGTCGCATTAAGTTTGCAAAATATGGAGTTGCAAAAAATATGGGATTTGGACGTTTTAGGCATTGAAAATCCCGTTGAAAGAAAAAATAAGATCCAACTAAAGGAAGAAACGTTGATCCATTTCAGAAAAACATTAAGAGTCAGTGAAGATCAGAGATATGAAGTATCTTTGCCATGGTTGGCTGGACATCCTTCCCTTTATGATAAATACGACATAGCAGAATCCAGACTTCGCACAGCAACTAAACGTTTGTTAAACGAAAATTATTTTGATGCTTACGACGCTGTATTTAAACAATGGGAATCAGAAGGTATTATAGAAACTGTACCAAAAGAGCAGATTACGAAAACAGGTCATTATCTCCCCCATAGACCAGTCATCAAGCTATCCAGCAATACTACGAAGGTTCGACCAGTTTTCGACGCATCTTTCAAGAAACCTGGATTTGCTTCCTTGAATGAATGCTTAAGTGTGGGACCGAATCTTATACATAGGATACTGCCATTACTGTTGAGATTCCGTTCAGGGGCATTAGGAGTTATTGCCGACTTAAAACAAGCATTTCTTCAGATACGTTTAAGAGTCGAAGACAGAGATGTACTAAGGTTCTTGTGGTGGGAAGACGCTGAATGCACAACATTTAAGACTTATCGACACTGCAGAGTGGTGTTCGGTGTGTCTTCCAGTCCATTTCTTCTAAATGCCACAATAAATTATCATCTAGGATTGCAGAAATTCCAAACAGAGAGTCTTAAGAATACGATTGATAATTTAAGAGAAGGATTTTACGTGGACAACCTAGTCACAAGTGTTAATAACGTCGATGAACTGGAGCATTTAAAATCTCAAGCTATCCAAATAATGAAAGAAGGTGGGTTTGAATTACGATGCTGGGCTTCCAATAACTCTAGAGAAGGACAAGAAACGGAAATGGTTCTTGGCATGAAATGGAATTTAGTTAGTGATGAACTTTCATGTAAGATGCCGTTAAATTTAGTTACCGTCAATGAAAAGGCAGTTACGAAACGTTTACTTCTTTCTATCATCAACAGTATTTACGATCCAATAGGCTTTACTGCTCCAGCGCTATTGTTGCCCAAATTCCTTTTGCAGGAAGCGTGGAGAGAGAAACTAAGTTGGGAGGATGCATTATCAGCACAACTTGAGCAGAAGTACAGACGGTGGGAGAAAACCGCTGCTCTCATACCTGAATGTACCATTCCTCGAAGAATGTTACCTGTAAATTACGATAATGTCGAACTGCATATTTTCACAGATGCATCTTCTTTTGCATATGCTACTTGTGCTTTCTTGCGATGTGAATACCGACGTCAAGTGACAGTCAAATTAATAGCTGGTAATCCAATGAAAAAACCAACAATCCCAAGACTTGAATTGCTGGAGCCGCCCTCGGAGCTCGTTTAGCCGCAACTCTACGTTCTGTTCTGCCCATTTCCTCTAGAACCCTTTTTTGGACGGATTCAATGATAGTTTTGAGCGGGATTACGAGAAAGGAGCCATGGAATACATTCGTTGGAAATCGAGTGAAAGAAATCAGAGAATTGACCAATATAGATTACTGGAAACATGTAGCTGGAGAAGTCAATCATGCCGACTTCGCTACTCGCTTTTGTGACTGGGCAGATCTATTGCAAAGTCAGTGGTGGGAGGGTCCCAGCTGGTTATACGAGGAAGCAGAATCTTGGCCAATGTCTGAGATATCCGTTCCGGATGAAGCTTTTCTGGAGAGACGCAAGACAGTGATAACAAATTTAGCAGCTGAAAACGAAAAGAAATTTGGACAGAGATTTTTATACTTTTCGAGTTACACAAGGATTCTTAGAATGACTGCTTATGTTCTGAGATTTTGTAACAACATTAAGAAAAACTCTTGTAAGTTGACCGGTGCGATTTCATGTGAAGAGATTGAATGGGCAGAAAACACTCTTATAAAAATCATACAGTATGAATGACCTTCTGACATACGTGAGAAGTACAAGGATGCAATACAATTCTTCGTAGAAAATGAAATTTTGAAAGTTCAAACAAGACTTACCCTCAGCCAAGATCCGGAGGACTTCACATATCCTATAGTTTTACCAGACCATCCTCTTCTAGAAAGACTGATTTTGCATACTCATAGATCTTTGCAAGCTGGTGTATTAACGACACTAGCACAGTGAGAGAAAGATTCTGGATTCCCAAAGGACGGAGAGTTGTAAGAGCAGTTTTGCGACAATGTGTACCATGCGAAAAACTGCCTTCTAGAAATGTTAATACTGAGCCAGCTCCTTTACCTCCTGACAGAGTAAACCGAGTTTCAGCATTTCAGATAACTGGCGCAGATCTAGCTGGTACTCTTTTCTTACGTGGTGGAAACAAGGCGTGGATAGTGCTTTTCGCGTGTGCAGTATATCGAGCAGTCTACCTGGAGCTAGTTTCATCTCTCTCCACAGAATCATTTATGCAAGCCTTTCGAAGATTTTGGGCAAGGAGAGGAAGATGTTCTACTCTTTATACAGATAATAGTATGAATTTCGTAGGTACAGCAAATGCGTTAAAATATTTGGATTGGGATTTCATACAAACAGAATGTTCTCTACAGAAAGTTAAGTGGTTATTTAGCCCACCATCAGCTCCATGGTATGGTGGTTTTTGGGAACGAATGGTTCGCTGCGTTAAGGAATTCCTTCGAAAATGTTTGAGCAGAGCTTGTGTCACCTACGAAGAAATGTTGACTTTGCTTTACGACTGTGAGGCGGCTATAAATGCGAGACCATTAACATATTTGTCAGACGACCCCAACGAATTGAAACCCCTTACACCTGCTCACTTCATTCCAGACTCAAAAGAACGTGAAACTTTTGACCTAGATTTAATCGATTCTCAGCATTTATTGAAACGAGTGCGTTACCTTCACACCTTACGACTAAATTTACGAAAGCGTTTCTATAGGGCAGTGTTTCCCAAACTTACGACTTTTGCGTACCCTTTCTAAATTTTTCGTAACGCTATGTACCACTATTAGAAAAATTAATGTATTTTTAAAAAAAAATTTTACTTTTCATTTTTGTTACAAAATTTTCGGTAAAAAATTCTCAAATTATTGTAAAAAATACTGTGTTAGAGTGATAAAAACTATATTTTAAAGAATAATCTAAATAAGTAGAATTTATTACAAACCTTTACTATAAAAAAATTGCACAAAAGTTAAAAATCAAAATCTGTTGACACCTCTAATTATTAACTGTTAACTCTGCAAAAATAGCCAAAAGAAAAATACGTAATCGCAAATTTTCATGGTTGCTTTTGATTTTAAATAAAAAAAATTTAAATTTTCGTTTGTTGCAAGATAATTCGCATAAGAACGCGTACCCCCACTAAACTGTTCCCGTACCCCTGGGGGTACGCGTACCACACTTTGGGAAACACTGCTATAGGGAATATCTTGGAGAATTGGTAAGAAGTCATAAGACAGCTTCAAAGAGAAAGGCTATTACTCCGGGAGAAATTGTTCTAGTTGAGTCACAAAATCCAAACCGAATGAATTGGCCTTTGGCTCGAGTAATTGAACTGTTTCCTGGCAAGGATAATGTTCAACGGGTGGCTAAATTAAGGGTAGCCAGTGGTGAAATCATAAGACCCCTTCAACGAATTTATCCTTTGGAACTTAGTTCCATTGACAATATGAATGAAGATTACCAGGAAACCAGAACAAAGCCTGATCATGAGCCTAGTATTGCACATATTCTGGAAGAATTGAAAACTCCAGAACCAAAACTTGGTAATGCCAATATTCAAGAGGAAGCAAGAACAACTCGATGTGGACGTCGAATCGTACCAGTGAAACGAATGAACTTGTGAACTATTCATAACTTTTAATTTCTTGCAGTGTTACAGCATTATGTTTTTTGTATTGTTTCAGAGCAAAAGTGCCAGCAATACAAAGGTGGGAGTATGTTGCCATTCACATTAAGTTTGTCAATTCCGTCATGTTTTCTTTATTTTATTTTGTATTAACATTATCTTTTGCGTTTGTGAAACTGGCAATTATTTTTTATGTTCTATTTATGTTTATAATATTACGTTAAAGAACTTACGATACGTTGCGTTTAAGAGAATTCGATACGATTTTCATCTTTATGATGTAAGTTTATGCATCCAACAAACAATGTAAATAATATATTGTAAATAGTCCTATTATTCTGAGTGTTGTATTGTGAAATAAAGTAATTAGAAGCAAAAGAATCTCGAGTCATAACATAAGTGATTTCTGTTTCATTTAATCAGATTTGTCATTTTATTTGATAACGCGAGGTATCTTTAAGAAATGATATCGGAATCAGAAATGTGAATGTAAAGTTCATTAGATTTGAAAAAAAAGAAAAGAGATTTTAAAACTGAAAGATGATTATTGGAAAAAGAGGGAAAAAATCTTGCTTGAAAAAATGCGTCTGCTTCATTAAATGTCGGTTTTTTAGACTCCTTAAATTTGATTTTAAAAACGTAACTAAGTTAGCCTAATAAATGAGTAAATAATAAATGATAGAGTTTATGTTCTTAAATTTCTAACAGTACTTTTTACAAAGATATTGCGAAGCAAAAAAAAGCCTTTTATGAGTTTATTACAGCATAACGTCTCAGCCATTTTTGCTCCGTAATTATATCTTTTGATTGCAGACAGAGTTCTTATAAATATCTCTACATTTTAGCTTATTTAGAAGAAGAAATCTATCATTACCATCTCAAAAAGAGGAGGAAAGTGATTTCTAACATTGCAATTACTTGAAACTTAGGTAATTTTTGCCATGAAAATGGAATGCGATTAAATTGATTTGTTTTGTACATGTGTTAGTTGATACAGTTACCTACAAGTTTTAGGAGTTAGTAAAGTTTTTTTGGAGAGACTATGCTGTTTTGAGATAAGCTAAATAAATAAAGTTAGATTTTGGAATTTTTGAAAATTTGAATTGCTATATTTACTGAAAGTTTCAATAACTCAAGAAAGTGTTGGTCACAGAACTTGTCCCAGTAGGGAGATAATAATATTAAGTAAAGAAATTGTTGGGATGCTGTTGCTCAACCAAACTTTTCAGGGCAGAAGACGCGAAAAACTTAATTTTTCATTAAATTGTCAAAGCATAACTCTGAAAAGCAACAATGCCCCTGTAGTGGCAGCTGTGGGATGTAGTTTCTTTGTAGAATTGAAGTATTATGGCCATTTCAGATGCATCTTAACTTGGATAGGATGTAGGGATATTTATCCTTGAGAAATGAATAAAGTCGTTTAGGAAAAATTAATTTATTATGTAAAGGTTAAATTGAACATGGTCACATTTCAAAATTATAAAAATGAGGAAAAGAATTCCCTCAGAGAGATCAAGAAATTAATTCTCTTCACATCAAAAATATTTTGTAAAGATATCTATTTGAGCCGCGAGGGCTCAAGGGATAAAGCGTTCGCCTTCCAATGAGGTGAACTGGGTTCGAATCCCAGCGATGACTGGCTGATTCGAATTCCGCATCAGGCTTAGTGCTGACGTGAAATATCCTCATTAATAGACGGATCATGTGTTAGAGTCCTCTTGCAATCAGGATAACCGTAAGAGGTTCTCGTGGTCTTCCTCTCCATGTAACGCAAATGCTGTTCAGTCCACTTAAAAAGTCCTCCACGAAGGCAAATTTCTCCCAATACTTAATACAGGAATTTCCTTGTCTTCTGGATTGTGTTCAAAATTACAAGGCTATAGAGTTCGCTAAAATTACAACACTAGTAGTCCTAAACCCTAAATTTGGGTCTGCTGTCCGACGACGGTTGCAAAATATAAAATAAAAACACAGATATCGATTTAAATGTTGGAACTGAGAGGCCCCCCCGGGCTATCACCCGTAAATCGAAATTTAAAGTAAATGAATTGTTTCCGAGGAACAGATGGAGCATGGAGAGATATTTATGGTTGGCGATTTATCGAAAGATAACATAACCAACAATAAAGTCTACCCCCTATGAGCAATACTAAGTTTGAAAATAATTTTGAGAAAGAGAATCACCAAAAAGACTGTGGAAATTAGTATAACCGTGTGACTGAATCATTTTTGTTCTGAGAAATTAAAAATAAAGAGTTATAAATAAATATTTATTTTCCATTTAGTCGTCACAGTGAATTAATAAGTCTTACATTAGTAATGAAATTAAAAAGTTAGTCGTTACATTGATTGTTAAGGAAAGAATGAAATATTTTATTCTCGCTTTTTATAAAATGAATGAAAAATAAATAGTTGGATTAATTTAAACAAAATTTGATTAAGAATGATTAAAAAAAATAAGTTTCAGAAATTAAAGAAATTTTAAAAGCTGGGAAATATGTAATGCCTATTGTGGCATCACAGCCCCATGGAAACGTGCGCATGAGTATAACAAGGCAGTGATAATTTATTAATTCAGCGAAGCAAAAGTTTGGGGTGTTGTTGCTTTCTTTGGATAAACCCAATAAAATATACTTGTATTTCACTTTTAAAGACTTTTAAATGACCTTGAACGACCAAATCAAATTTGCACAATATAAATTTTTATAGCCTACTTCAATATAAAAAAAATCAAGCCAATTAAAAAATATAACTTTCGCACACTGAAGTTCAGAACAATGGGTCTTAATTATTTAGTACCCTTTTTTTGCTTCTAATATAAATTAAATTCAAACAAAATTAGCTTGAACTATAATTATATTTGCAATTAACTTTTTTTACGTAATAAAAATTTTTGAGATGAAGTAATTCGCGATCGCAACGAACTATAGGGGGCGTTGTTGTATGAGACGCNTTTATCTTTGCTTCTAATATAAAATAAATTCAAGCAAAATTAGCTTAAACTGTAATTACATTTGCAATTAACTTTTTTCACGTAGTAAAAAACTTTGAGATGAAGTAATAGCCAGTTAGTTTGCTTACATGAAAGTATTTATTACAATATATCAAAACGTAGAAAAGCGAAACGCACTTTTCAAAATCCCTGATTAAAATTCATGTTTCGAAATTGGTTTTTATTGAGTTTAATTAAGCAAGTACTTAATGACTTTCTGTCTTCATAAAGTATTGGATTAACAAATTGATTACTCATCTCTAAAATTAATATTTGCACTTAATAAGCTTACAAATTAAATAAAAGTCCAAAAAGCAATTTTTTTCACGAAAGAATTCTCACCCAAATAAATCGTATTAATATTGCTAAACTGTTTTACGATTATTAATCTAAATAAGAACATTTTTAATTTTTGTTAGCATTAATAAGAATAACTCTAGATTAAAAAAAGATTTTAATTTAAGTCTAGCAATAAAACAACAATGAAATAATTGTAAGATATAATTTTATGATATTAATCAAAAATTTAATAAACGTTTTGGTTTTTAATGAATAAACAAGAATTTTTTGAAATATTTATTAGCATTTTTACGCATTAAATAATCTGGTAAAATCTGATCAGATTAATGCATGCTCAAATTGCATGTTTTTTCTCGCAAAGTTCTAAATAATTATCAAGATTTTATTTACCTTAATTTAACTCTGCATTTGTTGATATTAATGAACGTTGAGCAATTGTATGCTTATTATCATCTGAGGAAATAAAGCCTAGCCAAAACTATCAGAATACAATAAAATTCACAGTGTCTCTGTGGAAACCCAAAGAAGCTAGATATGTTTTTAACGAAGCGCTTTGATAATGATTTCGCTAAAATTGACAATAAAATACAACTTTATAATAAGTGAAATTTGGTAAGTTTTTATAGTTACCCAAAAGCTTGGCAGAAAAATTTTCATTTCAGTTTTGTTCTTCTTACTAAATGTGTGAAAATAAGAACTATAAATTTAAAAACTAGAATTTCCAGTAAATTATTACTGTATGAAAAGAAAAAATACCAAATGAATATTTTAAATAATATTTTGATTTTTCTTACCAGAATTCAGATTTTTCTTTGTCAGAAATGACATTACCTATTGTACCAAATGACATTAGTACAATAATTACACCTGGAATATTTTTCTGTACAATTATATTTTTTAAACTGAAAGAGCAATGCACACTTCTCAATGATTTATAGTTTTAAAGCTATGTTTTTCTGCTTTATTTGAGTAAAATGTATTATATTAAAACCTGATTAAGTGAATTTTTATCAGCATTCTAAGCTTATTTTTCATACTAGACATTTATGTAGAAATTTAAATTATTCCAACTAATTTCAAATATTTAATCTTATAATTCAGTTCTATTAATCGTAAAACGTTATTTTTTTGCCATATTTTTATTTACTTGCATTTATTTCCTTCTGTCATTTGGTAAATTTCCACTATAAACAAAGAAAAGAGAAAAGTCCACATGAAAAATTTATGGAAAATCATTTAGTATTTATAAGCAAAATCCCTTTCCCAAATGTTTTCTTCTATTATTTTAAAAGGATTAATGATGCATGTCATCCATATAAATATAAACTTTAGTAGTCGAAGAAAAAATTGTTAAAAATAAGAAAAATGATAGGAAGCTTAAATGTTTCGTTCTTTTAAGTTTATCGTGCTACAATTGACTGTCTTTAATTGTAACTTCATACTTTTTATGTAAAATTTAAAAAAGTATATTAATATGAATTAAAGCCTGCGCTGAGAAAAAAGTGCGGTTAAAGCAACCAGAATATGGAAAAATTTACCGTGTTTCTGACTCTATGGGTACTCTAAAAAATTCTGTATTTTTTACTAAAGCACTTTAGTAATGATTTTGGTAAAAAAAAAATTAAAGAAGAAAAAACGTTTTATAGCATTGTAAATGAGGTAAAATTTGGTAATTTTATCAAAATACCTTTAGAGTATGGCAAAAGAAGTATTCATTTGGTTAAATTTGGTTTTGAACTTCATATTTTACATCTAATGTGTGGTAACAAGAGCTATAATTTTAAATTCCAGAATTTCCGGCAAATCATGAATAAAAAAATTACCAAAAGAATGGTTTAAATATTGAATACTTTTGTTATTTTTTTAAAAAAAAAACCAAGATAGTGTTTTTTTTTAATCAGAAATGTCGTTACTATAATTTACGATGATTTTATTCGAATTTTTTTCTGTGTATTTGTCATTAAGGTACGGTGTTTAAGACACTGATCATTGTTGTTGAGGTTGAGTTAGAGATTAGTTAGATAGTTTTGAGTTTCCTGTGTTGGCAACATCTTTTCTTGTTTTTTATATTTTTTTTGATATAAATAAAAGTTAAGTTTTCAGTTTGTTCTACGTGACATTCAGTCTAATTTACTCTCAACAAAGTCCAACATTTGGTGCCGAAATAACTCGGTAAGTCATACTGAACTTGTTTTAATTACTTTCGTCATAAATCTGAATTGGAATGGCTACCGGTAGTGAAAAACTTGTAATATTTAAACGCAAACGAACAACGCTACGTACCGCCATTACGAAACTAACGACGAAATTGAACGATGCTGCTAGTACACAAACTGAAAAGGAATACAATATTGAACGTTTACAAGATAAAATTAAAGAATTAACCTTGGCAGACGATGAAATACATAATTTTTTAAATGATGAAGAATATCAGGAAGACATAATAGAATGCGAAAGATACACAGAATATGCTCATTTGGCGTTATTTAATTTCAAAAGAACAGCGAATCGGAACACGAATTCAATTTCTGAAACATCGCCAACAGCTGCCAATATAAATAATTTTTCAGCTTCGCCTTCAAATGTTACAGTAAAGTTGCCTACAATAAAAATAAATACGTTTTACGGCGAAATTGAAGAATTCCATAGTTTTTGGGAGCGTTTTGAAAACTGTATCGACAAAAACGAAAGTTTATCGCTGATTGACAAGCATGTTTTTTTGCGGGGATATTTAGATGGAGAAGCAAAACGAATAGTTGATGGAATTAATATAACTGCAGAAACATATGCAACAACAAAGAATATTTTGAAATCGAAATATGGCGATAAAGATAAAATAATACAGGCTCATCTCGATTATTTAGAAAACCTAAAACCTGTCAAAAATCACTCTCCAGCAGCAATAAATGAGTTATATATTGATTGTAATCGAAGAATACAGGCTTTAGATGCTTTAGGAGAAAAAACTCAATCATACGGAAGAATTTTGGCTCCTAAAATACTTCGTGCTTTTCCTCATGAAATCTGTCGTAACTGGATTGTACATGCCAAACGTGAAAATTTTGGTGAAAGCGATATTTCAAAATTAATGAAATTTTTATCAGAAGAGGTCGAGGGATCAATTACTGCAAGTAATATTAAAGGTTCACTTGCTCCAGACTATCCTATTAAATCCTCCTTAGAAAATTTTAACGTGAATTCTAAATCAGTTACCAAAAGTAAAATAATGTCACCCTTTTGTCCTTTCTGTGAAACTGTCGGACATTGGCCTCAACAGTGCAATGTTGTAACGGACATAGACGCGCGCATACAGAAATTGAAGACTAGTAATAGATGTTTTTTGTGCACTAACCGAGGACATACCAAAAAAAATTGCCCCCGTAGAGAAAAATTTGTCTGTTCCAAATGCAAGAGAAAACACCATACATCAATATGCAAACCTCTAACCAATGAGCAGCCTGTGGCTACATCTACAAACAAAATTGATGTATCGCCTTCCAATTTCGTTCATTTGCAAACTGCACGAGTTTTCATAACTGGGCCCACTGGCATTACAAAACTGACACGTTGTCTATTGGATGGTGGAAGTCAATCTAGTTTCGTTTCTTCTAATCTTGTGGATACTTTAAAACTTCCAGTAATTTCAACCAGACATTTGGACATTCAAGCCTTTGAATCCCCAGCTAATGTTGGCTACATGCGAAGACAAGTCAAATTTCAGTTATCAAGTATCTGGGACAAATCTAAAGTTAATGTTACTGCATTTGAAAGCTCCAACAAATATGCATCACACCTACCTTCATCAACGGATGTTTCACTCTTTGCTAAAAACAAGCGAATGAAACTTGCTGATCCAGATGATTCATTGTCGAACTTACCAATTGAGATTTTAATCGGTGCAGATTACTACTGGATTGTTATGAATTCTGAAGCTCCAGTCAGGTTGTCGGATTCTCTGGCCTTGGTCCCATCAAGTTTTGGTTGGGTACTTAGTGGAACTCGATCACACGCAACAGTTTCCTTCATTTCAACGGTTCATAATGTTGATGTGGATACTTCAACTCAGGAATTAGATAATGTGGTACGAAATTTCTGGAACTTAGAGAGCATTGGCATACAACCAACACAAGAAAAAATAAGTCCTCACAACTCTGAACTCTTAACGAACTTTCATCAATCTTTTGAAATCATCGATGGTAGAAGAGTTGTAAAATTGCCTTGGAAACCAGAAGTTCAACTTTCGTCGAACAATTATGAAGTCGCAATTCAACGATTTAAATCTTTAACAAGGAAAATGCATGCAAATTCAGAATTCAAAGAAAAATATATTGAGCACATGCAAGATTACATTGATAAAAAACACGTTGAAGTTGTCTCAGAAACACATAATGAAGAACGTTTATTTTACTTGCCCCATCACGCTGTAAAGAAAATCACAAATGGAGAAACTAAGTGGCGTATAGTTTTTGATGCATCTTCACATTCTCCAGGTCACCCATCTTTGAACGACGCTCTTGAAGTAGGACCAAATCTTCTTCCCGATATCTTAGCCACATTGTTGAGATTTCGACTTTCTAAAATAGCAATCACTAGTGATGGGCGACAAGCATTTCTGCAGCTGATTCTAGCAGAAGAAGACAGAGATGCAACACGATTTATTTGGTACAATACTACATATACTCCTGATGGGAAACTCTGCACTGAAGATAAAATTGTAACCTATCGATTCACACGTCTTCCATTTGGACTCGTCTCTAGTCCATTTTTATTAGCAGCTTCTCTTCGTGAATTGGCTACAAAACACAAACAAGCATATCCTACAGCAACTAGACACATTGAGAATAACACCTATATGGATGATTTTGTAACCGGAACGTCTACGGATACTGAAGCTCTGATTCTTTACCAAGAACTGCAGCAACTTACATCACTTATTAGCCTACCATTAGACAAATGGACTACAAATTCTAAGATTTTGAAAGATATGTGGAAACAAGAAAACGTCTCGTTTAAGGATATCACGCAAGTCTTGGGTGTTAAATGGGATACTAACAGTGATGTTTTTCAAATTGATGTGCAGACAAAAATTGTTCAAGCATGTAAAGAACCAGTAACAAAACGCTTACTACTGAAGTTGATGTCAAAGTTTTACGATCCTCTAGGCTTGTTTGCTCCAGTTACAGTAGTTGTGAAGATATTGTTTCAAGATACATGGCTTAGTGGTATTCAGTGGGATGAACTATTACCTCCATCTGTAGCACAGCAGTGGCACAAGTGGATAAATGAATTACACTATCTGAATGAAATATGCATCCCAAGATGGATTGGCTTTTCCGAAAATTCCGACGTTACCATACATGTGTTTTGCGACGCTTCGGAACGTGCATATGGTGCTTGCTTGTACGCGCGTCACGCAGATGATATTTCTACAGAGATCCATCTCATTTGCAGTCGAAATAAACTAGCCCCAATCAAAAGGGTCACCCTTCCGAGACTTGAATTGTTAGCTGCACTACTAGGAGCTCGCCTACTCCAGTATTTTTGCAAGGAAACGAACATGAATTCTTACACTGCCATACTATGGAGCGATTCTACTGTAGTTTTAAGTTGGATAAAGGGAAATCCCAACCTTTGGAAAACATTTGTCTGCAACAGAACAACAGAAATTCTTCAAAACACTACTTCAGCACAATGGCGCCACTGTCCCGGTACGGATAACCCTGCGGATCATCTTACACGTGGTACCTTTCCATCACAATTATCGATTTTAAAATCTTGGTGGCGCGGCCCGAAATGGCTAAAAAATGATCCAGAAACTTGGCCAACAAAGTTTTATATACACGTACACAGCCTTTAGTTGAAGCTGAATCACGAAAAACCAAATTTCAATCCTCCTACGTTGCAACTACAGAACCCATCATAGATATATCTCGTTATAGTTCTTATACGAAACTTCTTCGTGTGACTGCCTGGATTCTGCGTTTTGTATACAACTGTAAGACTCAGCAACGCATAACTCTGTTATGGCAAGTTTTGTCATCAGCTAAAACTCAGCAGTATTATGCCCAAAATGGCATAACTTGGAAATTTATCTCCCCACGAGCGGCTTGGTGGGGAGGCTGGTGGGAACGCCTAATAGGAGTTGTCAAGCGATGTCTACGAAAGGTACTCGGACGAGCACTTCTTGACGAGGAAGGTCTGTCCACGGCCCTCATTGGAATAGAAGCCGCTCTGAACAGTCGACCATTGGCATACGAAGGTGGAAAAGATGACAGTTCCACAGCCTTAACACCAAGCCATTTCTTGACAGGACGAAAACTAACGGCCATTCCATCCAACCCAAATAACAACACAAAGCTAAGAAAAATCTACAAGCAGCTGCAGGACTTACTCGACTGCTTTAGGAAAAAATGGTCCAAGGAATATTTGCTTCAATTGCGGTCATTTCATCAAGTTCGTAATCAGGACAATATCATTAACATCCGAATTGGCGATATTGTACTCCTACAAGAGGATGTCCGACCACGGCACATGTGGAAGAAAGCTAGAGTGGTGAACTTGCATGAAGGACGAGATGGGAAAATAAGATCCTGTGAGCTGAGAGTTAATGGTCACAATATAACCCGTCCGGTAGCTTTGGTCATCCCCCTCGAGGTCGACCAGGGTGGGGAGGATGATGAGGTTGAGTTCGAGATTAGTTAGATAGTTTTGAGTTTCCTGTGTTGGCAACATCTTTTCTTGTTTTTTTTAATATTATTTTTTATATAAATAAAAGTTAAGTTTTCAGTTTGTTCTACGTGACATTCAGTCTAATTTATTCTCAACAAAGTCCAACAATTGTCTTGTGTTGGGTATAGGTGTTCTGTCTTTGGTACCAGTTACTCTGGATCGATATTTATCAGAAAATCGATGCCACAACTTCTATGACTCAAGTTGCCAAACACTGGATATTGCAGGAATGGTTTATTTTCAAAATGCTCTGCAGCAAAAATAAAATAATATATCCTTACGCAAAACGAGCAAATCACGCATTTTTAATGCACTTTTTACAAGAAATACAAGTTTACTGTGTACCAAACATATAATAAGCTATTTAAAATATATCATCAGAAGTCCTCAGAAGAAAAAGAACTTTTATTAAGTGAGCTGTTTAAATTTAAAATAAGACAATAGCTTTTACCCATAAAACCTTTTCAATTGTAAAAAAGGCTAACTTGATAAAAACAAATATTTAATAATTCTTTATTCTTTTAATTGACTAGTTATTAGAGTTGACCAATAAAATGATAATAATTATTAACAATAAAATCACATTTTTAAGGACATGAAAATGCTAATACGACTTATGCACTGAACTATATTTATTTATTCATAAGAAATTAATGAGTGCTTTTAAACAGTTTAGGTTTTACTTTCTTTTATTGATTCCGTTGTTGTAAAAAAATCATTCTTCATAACACGCACCATAAATCTGAGCTAGGCTTTACAAAATAATTTAAAGCCATCAGTATGCAACCGAAAATTGTTAATCGACAAGCCACATGGTAAAAAACGAACGAGGAAATGTCATTTAAATCTCGTCAATCACGGAAGAGCGGAAAGCTTTTAATCCGTTTTTAAAACTGAGTTTCATTTCACGACTCAGAGGAATCCAAACACGGTAAAAATCTAAAATAAGAGAAAATCTGAGGGGTAAAAAAACGACAACGAAAAAAACGAGTGCAAGTTTTCCTTTTGATCCATCTTCTTTAGACGAGCACATTTTTCATTAAATTATCCTTTCCTAAAATTTTTCTCTTTATTTTCTTTCTTGAAAATTTATTTGTTATGTTTTTTTTTGATGGTTGCTGCTCAAAATTCACGGTCAATACTTTTACCATAAAATGCTCTTTTATATTGCTTTTGTAAAGGCTTGGTTTTTTTTCTTTTTTTTTTGGAATTTTCTTTAAAGAAAAACAAAGAAAATAGAAATAATCATTCCCCCGAAAGTAAAGGCAACTTTTTAAGATGGAATTTTCGGGCCCTAGGCAAAACGCATGATGTGGGGCCTACATTTCTTTTAGCTTTGTTTGCCTAAAACGGAATCCTGTGTCATTTCAGTCGTTGAGTTTTTACCCTCAATGTTTTATCTAAAGATTTGAATAGCATTCTGCAGATTGGCGGTTTTAGATATATAAATGGCGATTTTTTTAAAGTTTGCTTTCGCCAAAAGTAAATAACCATCTTAAAATTGAGTTTGGAAGATAATGGATGAAAATTTATTCAAGCATTTTTATCCTTTTAAAATATTTTACTATAAACGCCAAAGAAATTGTATCGATTTTTGGAGCTTTTCGCAGAATGTAAGAACCTCACACATTATTGAACACTATGTATAAAAATTTAATGATGGTGCTGCAGTTTTTCATATTGCCGTCCGTACATTTTTATTAGCTGTAAAATCATATAATTTCTTTACTATTATAAATTACAGATCAAGAAATTCATTAAAAGATTAAAAACTTAACAATCAACTTCATGCACAAATTATATCTAAAACATTGCGTGTATGCATTAATTGCATATTTGGTAAGCAAAAATATTAATTTACGTTTGTAAACTCCTCAAATTTGTTTTAACTATACACTTTTAATTTAAAAGTTTATTTTAAAATTCATTACTAAGCAGAAGGGAAGGAAGTATAAGCGTGTGAGAATTTTTAATGCCGGTAATTTAAGTGAATAATTACAATTTGTCGATAATTTAAGTGAATACTTAAAACTGTTTTATGACAAGAACTAATACTGCTTACGAAGGAATTATCGGGACTGGTGAATGACCGCAAAGAGAGTGTTTAGCCCTTTAGTATAATTTCATTATTATTTGAACTGTGGAAGTCATGAAATTGATCTTTAAGTATTCTTCATTTCATGCTTTTTCATTTAAGCATTTATTATATATTTTGAAGAGCAAAGAATTTTTTGAATATCTGAAAGTTTACTTCTTTATTAGTAAAGAATTCGCGATCGCAACGAACTGTAGGGGGCGTTGTTGTATGAGACGAATACCTGCGATTTCTATATGAATAGTCATTCAGTTACTCTAGAGACATCTTTAATGTACTATGTAGCATTGTAACATTCCTTCCTTATTGTGGCTTATTAAATTTAAAAAGGAAAAATTTTTGATATTCTTTCTTATGCAAGCGAAAACAAAATGGTTTCTCTTTTTTTAGAGAAGGAACATCCAAAACACATCGGAAAAATATTTGTATATAAACAGAAAAAAACATTGTATCTTCTTATTACAGTTAAAACCTAATGCCCGAAAAATAGTTTTACTAAATTTAATGATATAACATGTAAGGCCTATTCAAACTTTACATTTCAGAGCTTTAAGGTTCATATTACCTCAAAAATTAAAATGAACAAAAAGTATACATAAGCATCATAATTTTACATAATTTAATTTCGTAAAAAAAGTTTTTTGACAACAATTTTTATCAAAAAATTTCACGTTTTAATAAAAATCAGTATTTAGAAACTGAAGAAAGTAAAATAAAGAATGCTTACGAAACACACACAAAAGAAAAAAAAGAAACAATTCTTTTTTGACGCCAATTTTTAGTGCTACGAAAATTCGTCTTTGGGATTTGCCAAAAACAAAACAAAATGCAATTTTATTTTTTCAGGAGCGAAATATTTTACCGAAAAAATGAAAATGTACCAATTCCCATGACATTAAACTTTATCTTAGTAAACGTACGTTTTGGAAATAATATTTCATTTGGAATCTTATTTATTAGAGTTCATATGGGGACCGGGTGAAAGAAAATAGAGATTGTTTTGAATCTATGCTAAACTCTATATCGGCCCATTTCCCTCCGAAATCCGATTGAATACTTTGACTTTGAATGAAATGTTTTATTTTATGATTTGTCGCAAAAATTTTAAGTGTAGATTGGCGGCACTTAACCACCAAATCTGTAGCTGCGGTGGTGTTAATACGTAAGTACCGAATTTTTATTCCATACTTTTCTGAATCATGTTACTTAAAACATTATAGAATATGCCAGAAGTATACATAAGCACATAATGTTATACCATTTAATTTTTCAAAAAAATTATTTTGACAACAATTTTTATCAAAAAACCATGAACTAAGAAACGTAAAATAAAGAATTCTTATTATTAAAAACTATTTTAAAATCTTTCATACAGTTTCTTTTTTTCATTCTTATAGTTCTTAATCAGACGTAAAAAACCATTCTGTTGAGAACGATCATCAAATACGAAGAAGAATAATTTACAAGCACATTTTTATTATAAAAATCAAAACACTCACCTATTTTATAAATCCGCAGAATTCCAAATGAAATGTTCTTCGTTTAAAAATTTTATTTTCAAATAATATATTGATAGATTATCGCTCCATTACTTTTAGATAACATACCAGCATCAAAATTTTATAATTGTAAGTTCTCGATATGAATTTGAATATGTAGCTTAAAAACAGAATAGCTGAATTCTAGTTGAAATTATTCTTTCAAAACAGAAAAAATACTTACCAAGAAAACGATAAAAATTTATTAATAATCAGCACAAATAGTACTATTTCAAGTAATTAGATGATTCTTTATTGTTGTTTTCGGAATTACATACTATTCTATAAAGAAGAAGAATATTCTATAACTATTACAGTTCTGTACTTTCTGAATTCACATTTATTCATTGGAATGACGAAAGCAATGTTGACTTCACTTTAACTTGTAATGAATTGAAGACAGAAAAAATTATTTTACCGTAATACACACATCTGTAACAGCAAGTGACCATGAAATCAGAAGTTATGTTGTTGGCAATAGAAAGGTAAAAATTATTGAGAAATTGTTCTTCAAATGCTTGGCGTGTTCTGCTTCCATGTTTTGCATGCTCTGGTTAGTTTTTCCAAGTTCTTCTACCTTTTCCTTAGGGAAATTTTGCTTCTTATTTGCTGCTAAGAAAATGGCGTCCGTCATTGCCAATTTTTATGCTGGAACTAATGTCCGATATTTTCAGGCTCCCGCTAGAGGGCGTACTCGAGCGTTGCGATCGCGAATCCTCGTTGGCTGAAATTACTCCTTTGTCAAAATTTCAAAGCCCAGTTCTGAAGTAAGTAAAGAGACACATAGACACCGGACACAAACTCTCCCTTTAATGTTAATACATGATTGTAAGAAAAATACTTACGGATTTCTCCTTAGGGATTTCGATTAGCCTGAACTGGCAATAACACAAAGTACGAAAGAAGAGACGTTATGTGGATTCTTAGAACGTAAAAAAATAAATAGATAAGTGGATAAAAAATAAACAAGATATAGTGTTTTTCGAAATTTACCATTACTACTTTCCCTTAGGATGAATTTAATTTTTGTCAAAAAAAGAAAGATCTCTTTAAAGCTTCGTTTTTTTTCATTCACTGTGATTTTTCGTTAAAATAAGCACGCATAGAAGAATTTTAGATAATCAAAGAATTCAATGAAATGGTAAAAAAATAAAATACTACAACCTCTCGGACAAAGTTTTGTTTTCCAACAGTCGATTTAAAAATTTTGAATATTTCAACAAATCAAGCCAGTTGCTTAAAATAAGAAAAAATGCATGAACTTACTTTTCAAAAATCGCTGAAATATTTACTTAAAGTACAATTATATTAATATTTTAAAGATGCCTCAGTTTAAATTG